ATAAGTAAACATGTGGTGAGCACCCATGATTGGATTCCCCAAATGATATTCTCCCTACAAAAGCCAACTTTGACTCCCCTGGGAATGAGTCTCCATGGTAGCTGTCACCTGGAGCCCTGCCTGCCCCCAACTGCTTGCCTTGTGGCCATTTCATCGCTCACCAGACATCTGTGAATGTTAAGTAATGGTTAGAAGAAGGGTGTATTAAAGCCAGTTCTGCTATCAGAAATTCTGACTGTTTTCCTCTGGTTCCCATTTCCAGATGAACTGAATTCTGAGGAGTCCTTCCATTACTTATGGAGAAAGTATACACAACCATGTGGATTTCTGAAAGAACGGACTGGGTAAAAAACGGGCTGTTCTCCTGCTGATTTTTAGAGGTGTTTGTGCGCCCTCTGGGGCCTTTCACTTTTACTGCTGTGTAAAGAGTGTAGCCCAGAACAGTGGGGCCAATGGATGAGCTTTTTCTGCTTCCTAGGTATGTACTGCCCAGGTACTCAGGGGCTGCATGGAAGCCCACCCTTCAGCTTTGAGCCATCTGGATCCCTTTGGACTTCTGTGGGGTGAATGCTGAGATTCTCTCACTCTTTGTTGCTTATTGGAATCTCCTGGGAAACTAAAAACTATGGATACAAGGAGTAGGGGCCACAGTGGAGCACTGCCTGCCATCCCAGCACCTGGGAGGTAGAAGGAGGAAGATTAGGAGTTCAAAGATGTCCTGGGCTCCACAGCCAGATGGAGACCAATCCGGGCTGTCTGAGACCCTGTCACAAACAAACAAACAAACAGCGAAAACTGTGATCCCTGTGTCACAACTCTAGAGCTTTATTTACTTAATTGATTTGGTATGTAGACTGGGTGTTGGGATTTTGGAAGAACTTTCTAGGAAGTTCCATTGTGCAACCAAGGTTAAGAATGGTGGCTTGAGACTGAATGTGGTGGTGCACACCTTTAATCCCAGGACTCAGGGGCAGAGGCATGTGGATCTCTTTGAGTTCCAGGCCAGCAAGTAGTGAGACTTTCTCTCACACCCCGCCCCGCCAGAAAAAACAAAAAATCAAAAAACATGGGGGCTGGAGCGATAGCTCAGCAGTTAAGAGCACTGGCTTCTCTTCCAGGGGACCTGGGTTTGATTTCCAGCACCCACATGGAGGCTAACAACTGTCTCTGACTCCAGTTCCAAGGGATCTGATGCCCTCTTCTGGCCTCCTCGGGCACGGCATGACATGGGTGCACACAAGCAGGCAATACACTAATGCACATAAAATAAAATAATAAAAAATTAAAAGAAAATAAAAAAGAATGGTGGCTTAGGCTCCATTCACTTCCTTTAGAAACGTACTGACATTGAATTTTAAATTGAGCGTAGGTGAGTAAATATTTTTTGAATGCTTACTCTGCATAAGGCACAAAGGTAAAGTGAACACAATCCACAGCAACAGGGGGTAGGAGTGGGGTCGTGCAGGGCAGGCAGGCCAGGTTACAGAAGCTCTGTGCTGCTTAAAGCTGTGTGCAGGGGCTGGAGAGATGGCTCAGCAGTTAAGAACACTGGTTGTTCTTGCAGAAGACCCAGGTTCAAATCCCAGCACCCACATGGCAGCTAACAACTGTCCTTAGCTCCAGTCCCAGGGGATCTAATAGCCTCTTCTGACCTCCACAGGCATTGCACGACACGGACACTTACCTACATGCAGGCAACATACACATACACATCAAATTTTTTTAAAGAAGCTGTGTGCAAAGCCATCTTTTAGTCCAGTAGCTCCAAGAAACTTGCTATGAGGCTTCAAAGAAAGTATTCCATTTAGCTGGAGTGTGGGATGAGAAATGTTCTCACAGACACGGTGGGATTTGACTTAGAGGAAAAGGTAAGCTTTCCATGTGGAGACTGGTAGGGGCAGAGAGAGGCCCACACGGCAAGGCAGGGCCCGAGTGAGGCACATATGGTGTGCTTTCTGAGTAGTGGACAAAAAGCTTTGGGGTCATCTAGGGGTGAGCTTGAACAGGCCAGGGCAGAACAGCTGGTAACTCCCTAGGTTGGCTTCAGGTGGTCTCTGGGTTTGAGAATGAGGAGGTAATATCTGTGCAGCAGTACTTTAGAGAGAATGGTCTGAGGTTGAGATCTGGGCCAGGGAGAGGCAGCCGGGGAGAGGTAGGAAGACAAGCCAGAGGTCCGCTGTGGTTGAAGCCGAGGTACTGAGGGAAATGAAGGAAAGTCTGAACTGAGGATCTCAGGGGAAAGGAAGGTTTGGCTAGAAGGGTTAGAATACGCTGGACTTCAGCCAAGCATGGTGGCTTATGGCTGGAAACCTTGTACTTAGGAGGCTGAGGCAGGAGGAGTGCCGTGAGTTCTAAGACTGTAAAACAGAGTGACAAAACAGGACTGGACAGAGATGGCTCAGCGGAAAGTGCTCACTGCTCTCCCAGAGTTCCGTTCCCAGCTTCTACACAAGGCAGCTCACAACCACTTGTGACTCCAGCTCCAGGGGAACCCATGTCCTCTTTTGGACTTCATAGGCACTTGTACGCATGTGTACACACACACACACACACACACACACACACACACACACACACCTATAAATGAAAAATAAAAAAAACAAAAACTTAAAACAAAGCAAAAGAGGACATCATTAATTGGCTAGAAGAAGTAAAAGCTGACTTGGCTGCTGCTTACGTGGATTGTGGGGAGGGTGGCGGGCTCACTGACAATCATTAAGCTAGGGTGGGAAGTGGCTTATGAGAGAAGATAGATTAATCATGGATGTGCTTGAAACGAATACATCCAACGGAACTAAAAGTGTTTATTCCAATATCCTTCATTACAATAGATAATATTAAAATAGAATTATTAAAGCAGAGCACTGATTTGTTTAACATAGACGTTCTCAACAAAAGGGAAATTCTGCCTCCTAAGGAACAGCAAGTTGTTTGAACGGGTTGCCACAACTTGGGGTGAGGCTGATACTGTTATCTAAGTCCAGAGAGGCCAGTGATGAGGCTAAATATTCCATGATTCAATATTTCCCTCACAGCAAATAATTACCCGGTCACTAAACGTCAGTGTTGAGACCCAGTAGCTCAAATTTAAGGACTTTTTCTGCTTGTTCTATTTGGAGTGAGACAGCACCATCTAGTGTTGAAATATAATATTGATCCTAGTTCTTGGTGACCACAAGACAGAAAATAAAACACAGTCAGGATGCTGATATTAGAAATGAAAACCCCTTCATGGGAGAGTTTTCTACACTTTGCAGAAGTGGATGTGATGGTGACAGCTTATATGTTTTATAGTTTATTTAAAGTTTGGTATTTCATATCACCATCAAGCCTGATGACCTGGGTTTGATCCCCATGACCCACTCAGTAGGAGACAACTGACTCCTGCAAGTTGTCCTCTGTCTTCAACATGCACACCATGGCATGTGCATCCCCTAAATAAATAAATAAATAAATAAATAAATAATAAATAGTGATAAAAATTTAAAGATGAAAAACTAGCCTCTGGTTTACCTTTATTAGTGCATCTATGAACAAAGAAACAAGACCTAACAATTCTGCCAAATCATTGACCGAAATCTTTATTTCTTAAGGATGCAACCTTTCATAGAAACTCGAGTGAAAAGAGGTTGACTTGCTTTGTGTGTGTGTACATGTTCATATGGGCATATACGTCTATAGAGGCTAGAAATTAACATCAGATGTCTTCCTCAATCTCACTCCAACTTATTTTTATTTTATTTCATTGTGACAGGGTCTCCCTGAAGCCTCAACTGACTTGGCACTCACTATGTAGATGAGGCTAGCCTTGATCTCACAGAGACCCGCCTGCCTCTGCCTCTGCCTTCCGAGTGTTGGGACTAAAGATGTACGCCACCATGCTGAGCTTCACCTTAGTTTTTGAAACAGGGTCTCTCACTGAACTTGGCGTGTGCTGCCACAACCCGTTTTTTATGTGAGTTCTGGAGGATCAAATTCAGGTCCTCATGCTTGCTCAAAAAGCGCTTTACCACCTGAGCCATCTCTGCAGCCCAAGTTTTTTTGTTTTGTTTTGTTTTCTGAGATGGAGTCTCATGTATTCTTGATCTTTCTACCCCAACGTCCCAAGTGTGAGAATGTGTCCCAGGGGACCCGGTTCCTCCAAGGGGCGGGGCCTGCTGCTGAGAATTGATTGCTGAGTTAGCCACAGAGGGCGGGGCTTCTGGGTGCCATCTTGGGATGGGAGCCAAGACTGCAGAGCAGCGGTCCAGCATTTACCAACCAGGGACTATGGGCCCACAAGGCGTGTGGGAAAGCTAGCGGTGACTATGGGCGGCCGAGGGAGCCATCTGGAGTGGCAGGCTCATGATCTTGGCCCTGGTTGTTTGTTACTTTGTGAGTCACTCCCCGGCCACAATATAAACTATAATAAATTCACATAAAAATATGTTATACGGTTTGTCTGATAGTGCAAGAGACCCCCCCGCCCCCGCCCAGAGAACTCGGAGGACAGAGAATTAGTGACATGCACCACCATGCTTGGCTTAAGATTTTGTTAAGTTATGAAAACGCAGGAAGGATGAGCACTGGAAACTTCTATTTTCCCAACAAAAGTTCTTTCACTCAAGAAACAGTGTGTGTGGAGGTCATGGACGACTTAGCAGAGTTTGTTCTCTCTTTCCACCACGTGGGTCCTAGTGATCGAGCTCAGGTCATTAGACCTAGTGGCAAGCACCTTTGCTCACTGATCCATTTCACTGGCCCCATATTTTTCTTTAATATTTTTAGTTTACTTTTATTTTGTGTATGCCTGTGTGGTCAGAGGACAACTTGTGGGAGTTGGTTCTCTCCTTCCACCATATTATCCTAGGGAATCAAACTCAGATTGTCAGGCTTGGCAAACCTGTGGCTTTACCCTATGTATGAGCCATCTCTCCAGCCCTCTTATTTGAATTTTTGTGTCTCCCATAGTATCTAGCATAGCGTCTTATACAGAGTAAACACACAAATGATTTCTTGGAGTGAATTAATTTATTTTTATACTGGAAATTCTTGCCTTGAAGCAAAGAAAGTTTCAAGCCTTTCTAAGCAATTACTACCTCTAGCTAAAATCACTTGAGTAGGACACCCACTGATGGGGCTTGGCACAGAGAACACCACAGACCTGAGCAAAGGGAATTGATAACAGACACCTCCAATTCATATCCCTGGTGAGCCTGGAGCAAACTGCTCTGACATTCACTTCCAGGGTGTTAGGACTGACCTGTGAATGGTAGGATCTGGTGCCCGGGGAGAAAGTCATTCACCTGTTAGTGTGCATTGAAAGTCTATCCTGTGCTTGGTACCTGTCTAGGCACTAGGGATGGATACAGATGTGTGTGAATTTAAGCCTAAAGTTTCTTTAAGCTTAGAGGCGGGCTCTGGGTGGGTGGATTAGAGAAAGATGCGTGTTCCCCTTTTCCTCCACCAGCCTGGTGGAAATGGTGAGCTTAAAGCGGAAAGTATCTCCCAGCTACTGTGGTAACAGCCAGCATCATAACCCTCTCCACTTCTTGATGGCATCTCTTTCCCCCTCACAGCCTCAGACACTCCCTCAGAGTCTGTGGGAAGGGGCAGGGGCATATCCGTGGCACTTTATGGGCAAATGATGACTCTACCCACATATCTTACAAGTGGCAAGCAAAGCTGGTAGTTTTTAAAAGTGAGCCTGCTGAAAATTTTTTTTCCTAACTGGTTTAACAACCATTTAATTTTAGAGTCTATGAATAAGCCAAGTCAGAAAGAAAAACCAGTCACTGCCTGAAAGAAAATTGTGGGGGCCCTGTTTTGGCCACAGATTAAATTCACAGTGCAATCTTGAGTACCTTGGTGTCTTAGTGTTTTTTTAAAAAATTGCAAGCAAATTTTGTCTTCTTACTGTGTGGGCCCCATAGGCAGGATATGCAAATTACATGTTTTACCACCTTGGGGGTGGGGTATAGCAAGACTCTCTAATGTTAAGTGGAAACTCATTTAATGAATTCACCAAAATTGCTGCTATGAATGCAATCAGGAGATATGACAGTGAGCTCCCCTCTTTCTCCTTGGCATACATCCTAAGGTGGCTACTAACTTCTCTCAGGCCTGGCGAGTGGCCCCTAATTTCTTGGTTGAGATGAAACGTACCTAACACAGGGGGTGGGGGGAGCATGCTAGCTTTTTCCCAAGGCTGTAGATGGCAGTAGCAACATCTTTGGTGGGGTGTTTTGTCTGCTGTCATCATTGTTGGAGTCTTTAAGGTGCCCAGCTGACAGCTCCCTGTCAGCCGAGACTCCATATGTCCCCAGCTTAACTTACTCAAAACACTTCTTGCCACAGGTCCAGCAGGATGGGAACTCACTCAAATCCTGTTGTTTGGAAACCACTGCAGGTGGCTTGCTCTTTCCTTTCCATAGTCCACCCTCTTACACAGCAGGTACCCAGACACCATTAAAGTTCATCGCTCTCCACCACACTCCGGGAACTACAGGAATACATCATCGTACTTTCCAAGGAGGAAAAGGCCGAAAAAATGTCAAGTCCTTTACTAGTAAGAGCTCCGTAGCGGCTTCCACTGGGCCGGATAGACATGGGTGCTGGAATCTGCTGGTGCCACTGAGCTGGAAAAGGAGCAGATAAATGTTAGGTTCAGCACCAAAACGTGTAGTCTTTGCACCATCGCTCCCTGTGGATTCTTGGTAAAGCATTTCATTGTATCTGAGTCTGTGATATCTCATTTGTAAAGGGAAGCATTAAAACCTTTCCTGTTGCCAGGCGTGGACGTGTACACCTTAATCCCAGAACCTGGCAGGCAGAGGCAGGAAGATCTCTGTAAGATTGAGGCTAGCCTGGTCTACATAGCAAGTTTCAGGTCAGCTGGGGCTACACCTTATCTCAAACAAACATACAAACAACAACAAAATATCTTTAATAGAGGCTGGAGAGATGGCTCACCATTAAGAACACTTACTGCTCTTGCAGAGGACCCGGATTCAGTTCCTAGCACCCACCTGGCCAGTTCACAACTGCCTTTAATTCCAGGGAATCTGACACCTATTCTGGCCTCCTCAGGTTCCTGCATGCATGTACACTTATACATACTCACTCATACACACCCACACCTAAAATAAAAATGAATAAAAATATTAAAACACATCTTATTTATTTTTATCTTATGATTATGAATGTTTTGCCTGTGTGTATATAAATGTACTTGTGTCATGCAATGCCCATAGAGGCCAGCAGAGGGTGTTGAATTCCTGGACCTGGAGTTATGGAAAGTTATGGATAATTGTTAGCCACCATGTGGGTGCTGGGAAGCAAACCCAGGTCCTCAGCAAGAGCAGCCAACGCTCTTAACCGCTGAGCCATCTCTCCAGCACTCATATATATATTGGTCCTCTTAGTAATTATGTTATTCTTGTTATTTGTTTTGTTTTTGTGGTTTTGGGTTTTTCGGGGGGGGGGTTGTTTGTTTGTTTGTTTGTTTTGGTCTTTTTGAGACAGGGTTTCCCTGTAGCCCCAGCTGTCCTGGAACTCACTATGTAGACCAGGCTGGCCTTGAACTTGAAGGATCTGCCTCCCAAGTGCTGGGACTACAGGCGTGTGCCACCACACCCGACTGTTTTTTTGTTTCTGATTTTTGTTTTTGTTGTTTTTTTGGTTTGTTGTGTTGTTGTTTAGACCAGGTTTCTCTATGAAGCCCCGGCTGGCCTGGAAACTAGCTATATGGGCTCAGCATCTGCTTGCCTCTGCCTCCCAAGAGCTGGGATTAAAGGCATGCACAACTGTGCCCATCTAAAATATATCTTTACTAGAGCTCCAACTCTGTTTCATACTGCCTACACCTGAAATTCTCATCTGCATCAAAGCCATGAATCCTTGTTGGGTTTAAGCTGAGGTTCTAAAAAGATTAAGGGAATTTGTCAGGCTGCTAAGGGTAACAGTATGGAGCTGTGCCTGCTGTCCCCTCACCACGGACAATTTCTTGTGCCCATCTAAAATATATCTTTACTAGAGCTCCAACTCTGTTTCATACTGCCTACACCTGAAATTCTCATCTGCATCAAAGCCATGAATCCTTGTTGGGTTTAAGCTGAGGTTCTAAAAAGATTAAGGGAATTTGTCAGGCTGCTAAGGGTAACAGTATGGAGCTGTGCCTGCTGTCCCCTCACCACGGACAATTTCTCAAAATTGTCTGCTTACTGACATAACACAGGTATGCTAGGGGGTATATGTAGAGGACTGTAAGCTCTCAGAAGTCTGGATAAGAAACTGATGTTGTGGAAAGCAAACAGTGAGTTGAACCCTCTGAGAAATACCCGATTGATCACGTTAAGCTATTATGAATAGATATAAAACTACTGATTTAAGCTGGATGTGGTGATACACGCCTTTAATCCTAGCACTCCAGAGGCAGAGGCAGGTGGATCTCTGTGAGGCCAGCCTGGTGTCTACATAGTGAGTTCCAGGCCAGCTGGGGCTACAGGGAGACCTTGTCTCAAAAAGACAAAACAAATAAACAAACTACTGACTTAAGCAACTGTGTAAAAAAAGAAAAAGGAGATGCTGGGGAAACGCTCAGCAGATAAAGGGACTCTGTCAAGTCTCATAACTTGAGTCTCAAAAAAACAGAAAAAAAACTCTTAAGCACTAAAAAATAATATCATCTATCTGATTCATGTATGGAACATTCTACACTAATCCTTTAGAATGATTTTAAAGCTGCCGACCACGCACAACAGATGTTGCCGAATGACATCATACTTACCATATATATCCAACCTAGCTGTACAGGACACAATGCCAGCTTCATTCTTGGCTGACAGTGTGTACCATCCAGCATCTGATTTCTTGGCCGGCTGGATGAGGAGGCAGACATATCCTGTTGTGTCCTGGTGCATGCTGGAAGAAAGATAGAACACATTCACTTTTAATTCCAGAGCAGAAGTGTTGGTCAGTCTTAGATTTGAGGAAACTCTTGAGCTCCCCCTACTCCTCAAAGGGAAGAAAGGAAGAGTTTAGCTTCTTAACCAAAGTCCAAAAAATTCTCCATTTCTTCCTTTCTCCCTCTTCCCCTTTCCCTCCTTCGCATGTGGGAATTTGAATGGCTTTTACAATATGGGCGTAACCAGGCTCCTAGCACCAAATCCTTTTAAATTCCAGGCCCTTTTAATAAGTTGATGCTATACAGCAGTCCCTTCTGCATGAAATAACTACAATCATCACGACTTCCACTGAGCCTGATCGCTAAACGTAGTCACAATTGGGCTTGCTGACGGTTGTGCTCATTCATTAAAGGACTGCCAAGCAGGGTCACTGGACCCTCACCTGAGTATCCAGCCACTCTTCTCAGCCAACTAGTCCAGCCTTGGAAGAAAAAAGAAAAATGAGGAAGAACCCAATAAAGGGATGCTTTTGGAAGCCCTTGTCAAGAAACTCCAATGGACTCTCATATGAACATTTGAAAATTGCCCTGTTCTGACTTTTTTCTAGTTCCCTGTCTAGA